ATTTAAGTTTTCAAGTCGAGGAAAAAGTTCAAAAAGGACATTTTCACACAAATTCGTCCTTTTCAATAAGTACTGAATGTGTTAAGAAATGTATTGTATCATTCAAACGGCATTTAAATTACCTTTCCATTGATGCCAAAGTTAACAAGATGTAAGTTCAAATTATGAATATATTTAACTTTTTTTTGTGAAAATACTTTTGACCACCCTTGTATATACATATATATATTTATTAATTAATATTTTATTTTATAATTTACTAAAAAAAATTATTTAAATATAATTAATTTATAAAGTTAATAAATTATTTTTTATAACTATAAAATATGATTTTAAAATATAATTGTAAATATTTATTTGTATAAAATTAATTAATGTAAATAAATATATTTACATTTATACTATATAGATAAAATGTTATAAATTTAATTAAATTATATTAATAGGGGGATATAAACCAGATTTAGTGATTAAAAAAAATTATTAAATAATAATTTATTAATTAATAATTTATTAATTAATAATTTTTATTAAATTATTATAAATTTGGAGTAATAGATAAAATCTTATTGCAATAATATATTTTGTTTATGAACAACTAAATAAAATTTTTTATTAATAAAATTTAATAAATTAATAAAAAATAATTATTTATAAATATAATAATTAAATATAATTAAAATTTGATTATAATTATATTTATTTATAATAAAATAAATATAAATATATTTTATAAATAAATTTATAAATTTTATTAATTATATTATAGGGGAATTATATATCAGATTTAGTGAATAAAAAAAATTATTAATAAATATTGTTCTGTTGTAGTATTATTACTCATAATTTTTATAATTTTTATTATAAATAAAATAATAATAATTTATGTATATATATATATATATATATATATATATATTTATATTAATATCAAAAATTATAATAAAATTGTTTATAAAAAAATTTATATTTATTATAATTATAGTATACTGTTAATTAATATTATAAATAAAAAATAAAATAATTTTTTTAAATAATTTAAAAGTTTCATTTTGGCTTAAATATTTGTTATTAATTTGATTAATATGTAAATTTTTGTGTGAATTTATATTTATTTTAAAAATAAATATAAAAATTTATTCGCAGTAATTAATATTATTAATTAAAGAAATAGAAATATTAAAAAGTATTGACCAAAATGGTGCCAGCAGTCGCGGTTATACCAATATTACAAATAAATTTTTTTAGTATTAATTAAATTGTTTAAACTAAAATAAAATTAAATATATTAAGTGAAATTTTATATTTAAATTATTTTGTAAATTAGTAATTGTAGTTAAACAATTTTAATAAAAAACAAGGAAGAACGCTATAGTCGAGTACCTCGACTATTAGATACCCGTTACTCAAAGGGAAATGGTGATATGCAAGCAGCAAAGCGAGATTAAAATACGCCACCTACCGGCGGTAGACAGATTTAAGCGTTATGGGCGTTAGAGTGGGCGTGGCAAATTTATTTTTGGATCAATCGATAGGTATTGACGACACCAATACATTTCAGTTAAAATTTTTTATCTAGCATGCAAATTGTGGGCGTCACTGGTTTTCGCGGTTTGTGGGCGTTTAAGTGGCGTGGCAGTCTACTGAAACAAACTTGCGCTGCGTAAGAAGCTCAGGAATCTTTACGCCAAATCTCAATAGCCTAGCTCCCATAGTTTCCGAGATCTCAGCGTTCATCCGGACAGACAGACGGACAGACGGACATGGCTAGATCGACTCGGCTACACAGAAAAAAAACCGAGCCTGGATCAATTTGATATGCGCATGGTAAATTTGTGTTTTTTAGACACATATCATTTTTACCATCAAATAATGTCAAATTGATACCAAAAAATGTCAAATTGTCGATTTCTCTCTTTTCGGAAATTTCTTGACATCGAAAAAGAGAGGATGTAGCAATATGGCGACATCAATCACGTGAGTGGAAGCGAAAAGGATATATTCGAAATTCGAATTGGGCTAATTCGAACATGTTGTCTCGCTTGCACTAGGATGCGTTTTAGTGGATTTTTTGCCACTTGAATTTTATTTTGATGCAGGTCGGACGTGCATGGTCAGTGTAGTGTTTCTCCAAGTTGAAAAAAACAGGTAAGTAAACTTCAATATAATGTGTATACGTATAAAGTGTTATAAGAACATAATAAGTGGAAAAAAATAAAATCGTGTGCGGTTTTCTGAGTGGCTTTTACTATACGACTGCCCTACGTCAAGAAAAACACGTGCAACTTTGTGTGTACATACATACATACGTACGTATGTAAGCGTGCGTATCTGTAGAGGCTGCGCCGGCGTGAAAACAAATTTAACAAGTAACATAACATAATTGCATTTAAAAATTAATTTTTATTTCTACGCCGTCCTGCAAAGTCGCTTCTCGTACACACTTATGTATGTATGGACAGATGCACGTACTTTTCATTGCCGTAAGAATGAATGTGCGTGTGAGAAACTAAAAATGCTAAATCAAGACACACATTGTCATACACACATAGTTACGCATGCACATACATATGTATGTATGGACAGATGCACGTGCTTTTCATTGTCGTAAGAATGTGCGTGTGGGTAATTTAAAAAAATGCATAAGTGAAATTTATATATCGAGAGTTTATTTAATTTCACTTGTGCATTTTTTTGCTTCTCACACGCACATTCTTACGACAATGAAAAGCACGTGCATCTGTCCATACATACATATGTATGTATGTGCATGCGTAACTATGTGTGTATGACAATGTGTGTCTTGATTTAGCGAAAATTTAGTTAGTTTCACTTGCGCATTTTTAGTTTCTCACACGCACATTCATTCGTATGAATAAAAATTTACAGTGTTTTTGCGCTCAAACACGTACACACAAATGTAAATATTGGCCCTTTTTTTTTTAGAAAAAATTACGGAGTCTGAAAAGGAAGAACTATTAAGTTTCTTGACTGATCAGGACCTACCAATGTCCTGTTACGACTGTCTTATTGGTAAATATAAAACAAATATAGTGTATTAATTTACAATTTTGGTTTTCAGATTGTTGTTTTACTTTCCAAAGGCTCAAATATATAAACGATAGCGACTTGCTGCATATATTCCCAAAAAGAGAGCAGTGCGGGATTCTGGATATTCTGGAAAGTTTTTGAAAAAAATTTTTGTTATTACCCAGTTAATTGAAGTTTCCAATTATAGCGAGCATTATCAAGCTTATGTGGTGGGTGCTGAATTGGAAAATTATAAGATTGATAATATAGAAAACTTTGAGGGCCCGCCGATTCATTTGTACATAAACTCTAGTAATAAGCTAATAAGAATAAAGAAATTTTAGTTAATAAGTATATATAAGTACAAAAATAAAGATTCAACGTAAATATAAAAAAAAGTGTAGATATGAAATATATATTTAAGTACAAAAATAAAGACTCAATGTAAATATAAAAGAGGTGTAAATATGAAATACAAATTCTTTGTAAAAACTGTAATAGGTAATAAAAACGTATAATCAAAAAGATTTGGCATATTATTATTTATTTAAATTTGTGTTTGACATTATAATATCAAATTTACAATAATATCATTTTGGTATTTTTAATATCCAATCTACTACAATGTAGATTTGAAATTATAATATCAAATTTACAATAATATCAATTTGATATTTTTAATATCCATTATACTACAATGTACCTTTGAAATTACAATATCAAATTTACAATAATATCAAATTTACAACCAAAACATTTCAAAAAATTGATACGCTATAATGTAAAAATGATATTACCGAAATATCGTTTTTACAATTTCGAACATATCAAATTGATATGTGCCGTATCTAGGCCGAATTGATACTGGATTTCATCAAATTGACCATCATATCATATCAATTATTTTTTCTGTGTATACTATCTATCGAAAATGAAGTAGCAGCATCACTCGACTACAATGATATTATTGCTGAATTTGCGGCAATCAAGGCCAGAAAAGTTATATTCTAAAAGTAATATTTTTTTGTCTTGCAAAAACACAAATAATAATGTTTTTTCCGTTGTAACTGACAAAAGAATCGATATGAAATACAATTCTTCAAACATATAAGCTTTTAATAATTAATAACCTATTTACACTTTAAATACTCCTAATGTTATTCGTACAGCAAATAGGGAGGGGGCGGAATTTTTCGCTTTGCCCCGGGCGCCAGCAACCCTAGATCCGCGACTGTATACAGTAAAGAATTTCATTTACATTGAAAAGATTTTTGTGCAAATCAATATAAATTGATTAGTTTTTATTTATTAATTTTTATTATTTTTTATAAAAGTATTAGAAATAACTATAAATTTTAAAGTTGTAGTATTTTTTTAAAGAAAAAATAATTTTAATAATAGTTTATTAGTATTGTAAAAGAAAATTGAAATAATTTGAAAAAATTTTATTATAAAAGAAAATTTAATTTATTGTACCTTGTGTATCAGCGTTTATTAAATAAAAAATAAATATTGATTTTTCTTTATTTTTTTTAAAAGATTTAATATAATAAATACGTTAATTCGTTTTTAAAGGTATCTAGTTTTTTAAGAAATAAATTTATTTAATTAATTTTATTAATTAAATAATTTATAATTTTAATATTTTAGGGGATAAGCTATAAAATAAATTTGTAAAAATAATAAATAAATTTAATAAATATATGCTTAGAATTAGCAATTATTAAAAAATGTGTTATAATTTATTTTATAAATTAAATTATTTATTAAATTTTAATAATTTTTTAAAATACTAATTTTAATAGTTAAAATTAAGTAATTATGATAGAATTAGTATATTATATTGTTTAAATAAATTTTTATGAGAAGTTTAAGTAAAGAATTCGGCAAAAATAATGTTCGCCTGTTTAACAAAAACATGTCTTTTTGAATTATATATAAAGTCTAACCTGCCCACTGAAAATTTTTTTACGGCCGCAGTATTTTGACTGTGCAAAGGTAGCATAATCATTATTCTTTTAATTGAAGGCTGGAATGAATGGTTGGACGAAATATTAACTGTTTCATTTGATTTTTTATTAGAACTTTATTTTTTAGTCAAAAAGCTAAAATTTATTTAAAAGACGAGAAGACCCTATTGTTCACGCCAAAAGGGCGTTTAATTTCAGGAGGCAGTGTTGAGCCGCAGTTTTATCCAGATTTCTATATCTCGCGCGCTCGCACTGCCGTCCGCTCTCCCTCTCCATCTCTCCCCTAAGTCTCCGCTCTGCTCTGGAGCGCTTAAGTTAAGTTAGGCTTAAGCAGTTCATGTTTCAAAGTGTACTAATAAACACCTACGCACGTCGCGTAAAAACCCAAAAGTACCCGCGTATTTTTATGCGTACCACTCGATCTTGGGGCTTCAATTATTTCAACGATCAAGCCGCAGCGCCCCATCATTTTGGTCCTTCGAGCCGGATTTCAAAATCTTTGGACTTTCCTCTCCTGGAGTTTCCTTTGATTTTGTCCCAGCAGGCTTGAAACACTCCAGATAAGTTCCGCTTACTATAATTGCCGGTCATACAGCCAGTTTTTCGAACCCTATTTCGACTAACTTTCTGTATGATATATTGTCTAAATCCAAAAGAGATTAATCCGACGCAACGGCATTTAATATATGTATTTCAATTCCGTTACTTGTGCCCGACAATATTCCAGTTTCCTTTGCCCACAGTTGCACACTTGAAACAATTCCATTAAATATTTCAGTGCTACTATTCAACGAAAATATTTGTCAAATATATTTTCAATTCCAATCGTGTGTAAAATATAACTCAGCCGCAGTAAAAAATTCCCGGTCATAAAATTTTTCCTTAAGATTTGCACTCTTTATTTTTTACTGTGTTCCAGCTGCGTGTGTATATTTACATAAATATTCTAATACAGTCCACTCTAACTACTCTTTCTAATACAGTCCACTCCAACTACTTTTCTCGACCTACAAATACGGCTAAACTATTTCCAATATTAAGAGCAAAGTTACAAATTCCACAAATTTACTCCAGCAAATCGTTTGCAATTTAGTTGTGCAGGTGACAAACAAACGCACCGACATACAAACATAAGCGAAGTCTTTCCCATTCCCGCAACGTTATTCTGCTACTCGCAATCCACATATGTACACACATACATACGTATATCGATACCTTCGCCAGTGCACAGTGGGTCAAGAGCTCACAATAAATGTTTCTTCCAAACATACAATATTAAAGTCCGTAATTCTTTACATAAGTCCGACAATCGGATATAATAAATATTTATTGACTCTGCCTATCCTACAGTGTGACCGTATATATATTTACAATCTTAATTGGTTCCTAAATTCCAATTTGATTCCAATCCGTTTCCTTACTTCTGAATTAAAATTCTAAATTATTTAACGTCATGGCAAAATCAGTAAAATCCGCTTTAACCCGATTTATGGCCACAGCTGACTGTCTGATTCACTTTGAGGCCACTGTGAACGCTCCAGGTGCTCCTACCCCAACGTTATCCGCCTATAAAATCCGTCGCGATCACCTCAATTCCTTGTGGCAATCGGTAAAGGCAGCATACGACATATGCTCCGACTGCATTATAGCTGCAGGCGAGAGCGCCGCAGACACAAAATCCATACTAAAGTCCAAGTATTACCAAACGTACTCCACTTACGAAATATTTGCCGCACAGCTGATGGAACAAATCCAAACAGGCTCCTCCCAAATACCTCAAGCTCCAGTAACTTCGTCCCAAAATTCCACGTCTTATGGCTGTGGGCTCCCTCCTATCGACACAGAGGTTTTCTCTGGCGATTATCTTCGCTGGCCGACTTTCCGGGACCTTTTCTCGGCAATATACATAGACAATCCGAGTCTAACGCACGTTGAAAAATTATTCCATTTAAATTCAAAAACAAGTGGCGAAGCTCATTCCATAGTTTCAAGATCCCCACCCACCAATGACGGCTTTCGCTCAGCCTGGAATAACCTAACTGAGCGTTTCGAAAACAAGCGATTGCAGGTGAACAGTCACCTGAAAACACTTTTCAATGTGCAATCCATAGCCCAGGAGTCGGGAGCAGCCTTAAAGGAACTTCAACGCACTTTTCAAGGTTGCTTAACTTCCTTAAAATTTTCCGGTGTTAATATTGAGAATTGGGACCCTATCCTGGTTTATATGTGCTCGACAAAACTACCAAAGCTCACTCTCTCATTATGGGAGCAATCCATCCAAAATAAAGCCGAAATTCCTACGTGGCTTGAGCTTGATGCATATTTGACGGAGCGCCATCTAACTCTTGAGGCCGTCGATAGCTTCCGATCTTCCAATTTCCACCACGTCCAGTCCACAGACACAAATCGAGAGGCAGAATTTCCAAAAGTAAATTCCTTCAACACAAGGTTAGTTCCGATAACCAAAGGCTGCGATCTGTGTTCGAAGAAGAACCACCCCGTGCGTATATGTCCACGCTTCCTACAGATGACGGTAGAAGATCGCTTAGCCTATATCCAAAGGAAGCAGTTGTGCTCCAATTGCTTTGCAAGTAGCCATCAATTCCGGGATTGCACAAGCGCTCACAACTGTCTCACTTGCCAAGATCGGCATCACACATTGCTGCATCGAAACAGCGGTCCTACTACTCCGACGATTCCATCCGACCCTCCAAGGCCAGTATCCGCCTTAGTTCCACACATCATTTCGTCCTATTCAACGCAAGTTTCCGTACAAAAACTTCCTCCTAAGAATACTCCATCCGAATATTGGGTTCCATACCCCGCCTTGGATGGCAGACGTACTCGAGGTATTAAATCCTACCAATGCCGAGTCTGCCAAAAGATCCATCCTCTACGGAAGTGCCACCACTTTCTACGGCTAAGTCCCCAGAATCGGCTTCAGGAAGTACATATCCAGAAGTACTGCTCCAATTGCTTGGCTCACAATCATTCCAAGAACTCCTGCCGCAGTGGTCATCACTGCCACAAGTGTGGAAAGGCCCACCACACTCTCCTACATACGGACGACCGATCTACACTTCCAACATATTCCTGAGCCTACTATCCTGAGGTTCTTGCTACGGGTGTCCTCGCAAGGGGGGCCGCAGTTTTATCCAGATTTCTATATCTCGCGCGCTCGCACTGCCGTCCGCTCTCCCTCTCCATCTCTCCCCTAAGTCTCCGCTCTGCTCTGGAGCGCTTAAGTTAAGTTAGGCTTAAGCAGTTCATGTTTCAAAGTGTACTAATAAACACCTACGCACGTCGCGTAAAAACCCAAAAGTACCCGCGTATTTTTATGCGTACCACTCGATCTTGGGGCTTCAATTATTTCAACGATCAAGCCGCAGCGCCCCATCACCTATAAATCTTTATATTTTATTTATTTTAACTATAAAGATTAACTTAATTTTAATAAATTAAAATATTTTATTGTGGTGATATTGAAATTTAAAAATCTTTTAATTTTTAAAAACATTAATTTATGAATAATTGATCCATTAATAATGATTAAAAAATTAAGTTACTTTAGGGATAACAGCGTATTTTTTTTGGAGAGTTCATATCGATAAAAAGATTGCGACCTCGATGTTGGATTAAGATATAATTATACCCGTTACTCGTAGAGTAAAAGGGTATACTAGATTCGTCGGAAAGTATGTAACAGGCAGAAGGAAGCGTTTCCGACCCCATAAAGTATATATATTCTTGATCAGGATCACTAGCCGAGTCGATCTAGCCATGTCCGTCTGTCTGTCCGTCCGGATGAACGCTGAGATCTCGGAAACTATGAGAGCTAGGCTATTGAGATTTGGCGTGCAGATTCCTGAGCTTCTTACGCAGCGCAAGTTTGTTTCAGTAGAGTGCCACGCCCACTCTAACGCCCACAAACCGCCCAAAACTGTGGCTCCTACAGTTTTGATGCTAGAATAAAAATTTTAACTGATATTTAATGTTCTCATCAATACCTATCGATTGACCCAAAAAAAAGTTTGCCACGCCCACAAACCGCGAAAACCTGTGACGCCCACAATTTTGATGCTAGATAAAAAATTTTAACTGAAATGTATACCTATCGATTGATCCAAAAAAAATTTAATATAGTTTATTTAGTTTATCGAATGTAATATCATTTTTCGTCACAATTGTTGATATCAGAAATTTTTGTTAAAGGCGCTTTCGCCACTACTTTTTACCTCGTTAAGAGGTGTTTTTGTTTGATTAAAACTCAGCTGGAATTTCTAACATTTTATAAAGGAGCACACACATTACCTGGCAAACAATCAAATACCCGAAAATTAATTAACTTCAACTCCGCCAACACGAAACTAAAGCAAACCGACAAAACCACAAGAACCGAGCGCTAATCTCTGCCAAATCCGTGCCTGCTTTGTACCCTTAACCCTCTATTCCCCACATCCCTCCCACTACACACCCCCATCCATTTCTACATTTGGCAACAAAGGCATAAGGAAATTAAAAATACAAGCGGATGAAGTAACCATGATAAAAGGGGCGAGGCACGAGTTTAACTATGTATTCAGTTTTAAACGAACAAGATAAATACCCTTGAATACAAATGCGAGCGATCCTGCTATTTATATAGATGTCTATTCGTAATATGAACTACAAACTGTTGTACAAAGTCAATTAATATTAATTAATAAAATTATAGTTGCATATATCCTGTTCGATTATATTTTTTGGATGATTTTATTACAGTTCTACATTAGAAAAAGGGTCTTAGAATGGAGGTAGTAATTATAGTGTTGCATAGTAATTATAGTGTTGTATGTGGACAAACAGTGATTAAAAGGAAGTGTAAACAATTTTTTTCCGTTTTAAGAATTAAAAACCATTAGACATATATGAACATAAACGCTTTTCTGGCACTTAAAACTAATGAAAAGTAGTTTAACTTTTCTGATTTCCCACAAAAAACAAAACCACCTTTTATAATATAGACAAATTGAAATTTCGGAATCAACCAAAGCTTGGCTTAAGTGATTTAAAACAACGAAGAAGGCAGAGATATTCCATTTTGTTTACAGCTCAAATTTAATAAACGAGCATACGATACAGGCACATAAAGCTCAATTTATACAGACAGCCACATTTATATGCCTCGCATTGTTTCGCTTTTGTAAATACAAATTGAAAAGTTGCAATCATTGCACCGGGCAAAGCAAATACACAAAGGCTGTCCATAAAAATGGGGAAGAGAAAATAAACCATTCAACAGACAGGTGAGGAGAAGCACTTGAATGGGCCAAAAAGCCCTCCCATCCAGACCAGAAGAATCACGGATTGAGAGCACAGGAGCCATAATTACTGATATGCTTTTTACTCACACCACGATGAGCTCAAAAACAGTTTAAATCCTTTATTTGCAAAATGGCCCTGATGATGATGGGGATGGCAACTCAGAATTTAATGTTCAAATATGTCGGCCACTTATGTATTCAACGTGTTTGAAAGTCCATCAGTAAGCAAATTTAGCAGTAAATCATTAAAAAATTTAGTAGTAACAGATTTATTATAAAATTAAAAGCAGTAAATGAGTTTACTTATTAAGTTTTCACTGTAGTAAAACAAAGAACAGTTTAAAAAAAACTGAAACACGTGATTTATAAACAATCGCAATGCTTGTAAAAATTGCACACAGACCTGATTGAATTTTAAGTGTATGCCCTATTTTTATGAGTCCTCTACTCTCATTTACTTTCACATATAATAACCACTATCAACTTGTTTAGTTAAGATTTAGTTAAAAGCAAAGATTATTCCATGAAATGAATTAAACAGGTACTTTCCATAGTCGCTTTTCTGCTGGCAGACTATAATTCGTCAATTAATAAGCTCTTATGGTCCATGGTTTTATTTGACAAAAGAATAACAGGCAATTAAGTTAACCATAAGTTGACCACAATTAATTACCCTGATGCAAAGTATGAAAAAAATAATTAACTAGTAGTTTTTTTAAATACAGAGGACTAATGAGGCATATAATGCCTATCAAGCATTTTATGCCCATATTCAATTTAAATCTGTTGAATCTCTATAAATAAGCCTGAAAATATGCTGCATTTTTGTTAAGGCTTTAAAAGCTCTCGTTGGTTAATCAATTCATTTATTCAGAGTAAATCAAGGCGCAATCAAGATGGACAATATTCCAGAGTTGTTTGGAATATTATTTATTAAGTGTGTTCGTTTGCGCTTTTTAAGCCGGAATGAAGCGGCTTATTGATAATTACCCACTTTTATTTCAAGTAGTAGAATAAATATTACTATCAAAAATCCTTTATAAATATTTATATATTTCGTAAGAATAATGAAACCTTGTAAATAAATATCGCACCTATTTTATTTTACTATTTTATTGATAGTCGAAATAATTTTACTTATTGTTATTAGAATACTTAAATCTTTCATTTGATGTATTTTAGCAATAAATAATTTTGGATGCACTTAATACTCTTTTCTGTCGAAATAAATACGATAAATTAGAATTAAAGAGAATGCCGATTTCTTTGGATCTCTCAGAGATGTCCTCGATGAATTTTTACATACTAGGACTTAATATTAAAGACAATGCCAAGACTAGAGATGGAAACACTGTCCTCATTTCGAAGGCTCTCCCACGGAAAGCTTTTCAAACATGGGCATAGTTCTTATTACAGATGGGTCCACAATGAATTCTGCGTCGGGATTATGCTGAAAGTTAGGATCCGCTGCAGCAATGTCGTTGACAGCTATATCGTTGGAAAGGTCAACAGGCACAAAGTTCTCCTCGATACCGATCTCGTTATTCAGATCGTTATCGAATTCGTTATCTTGATCCTCATCCTGATCCTGGTCAAATTCAGCCCACTCATCGTTGAAAGTTTCGCTCATTACGACAGGAGTTGTAGCCTCGCCATCTTCGTCATCAGAGGATTCCAATTCTTCACGCTCCCTCTTCTCCTTTTTTTCCAAATACTCTTTGTCCTCGTGAGCCAGCTCCAAATCTTCTTCATGATTAATCTCTTTTTGCACGGATGCCATCATTTCCTTCAGCTGATCCATCGTCTTTTTTTGTTCTTCCGAGAGAGTCTCCGCTATATCCTCGCTGATACCAGAAGCTTCGAATTCTGAGTCTGCGGGCGAGCTGGTGTCAAGTCTTGTTGTATAACTTGAGGTTGTTGGTGTTGTGGACTGTGCATCGAATTTGTGAGTTTAGTGGTGTAAATGTGCAAAATGTGGGCATGTGTGCGAAATAAATTAAATAAAAGATCGAAATTAATGTTTGATTGCTTATAAGGGCCAAACTTTTGTGTTAAACATTGGTTAACGTTAGAAAGCTACATGCGGTTTTTGGAATAAAAAAAAATTTATTTTATTATTAAAAGGCAATCGGAACTCATTTTATTTCTCTTTATATTAAGTGAAAAATATGGAAACAAATTTAGAATTCGAAAAAAGGTGATATATATTCTGCAATATACCCTATTCTATAACTTTCAGCTAAGTGGTTTTTTATAAAAATTATTTTATTTCTTAATCAGCTTTCCTTTGTAGTATGTATCAGTCTGTCTGGATACCAACGTTTTTCTATGAAGAACCGTTTGGACTATTCTCTTCATAACAGAAGAGTTGTAAGAACCAGACATTTTCACTATTTATTTATACAATTTTATCACTGCGTTCAAAAATGAATGTCCATTGTTATATTTTTAGTGTTTTTTTAAAACTCACAATAGTCACACCAGTTTCTTGGTTGCCTTCCAATCTTTAACTGAGCTGCTGACAAGTCAAGCTTAAACTTTTATAAGAGACTCTATGGTCAACAAGCTTGAGGGAAAAAGAGAGGCAGACTGACAGAAGCTTACCCTACAACGAGTGTTAGAGAGAGGCAAAAGATATATCTTATCAGACTGTATTCTCTGTTTCTTAGATATTTCTCTCTCAATAATGTCTTCATTCATTATTTTTGTTTGTTATTCATTGCTCGACTTGTGATTCACCTTCCTTTGATGATAAATCAGCATTCAGATCAGTCCCTCTCACTCACTCTTGTCTTGTGACGTCATATACACAATTCTTCCGCTGTAGATCTGTTTAATTTTGCAACTTTTTCTTAGAAATTTATATTAAAAATGCCTGCAACTTTTTACACATTTGTTTATTTTTAGCCTGCGGGATCAGTTAAAATCTTATTTTGAGATGAGAAACGAAGGCAGTTGCGTCATTACTTTTATGCAGATTAACTGCGACTTAGTCACCTCAGTTTCTTTTGAATTTCTTGAGAATTCAAATTGATCTAAAAATTTTTTCTGTGGTTTGTTGCAATAAAAAAGATATGGTGATTTACTAACCGTTGGAATTCTTAAAGCAATCAAATGTAGCTGGTTCATTTTTAA